ATGTAAACCGCCAGCAGTTTTTTCTCCTGAGCCCTCAAAACCATAAAAACCACCATTAACTATATTTCTAATACTTTAACTCAGGAGTTTTTTCAGTGCTGGTCGGATTTGTGTTTAACTCTTCCCTTGACACTGCCTGTAAACTAGCATTAAATAAATTATCAAATCAAATCAAATATTTATTCGGCACATGAGCCTACTAGGGCACACGCGGATTCATGAAAACTTGCAGTAAGTCGCCGCACATTCCCTACCAGCACATGCAGCAAGCATACACCTCTAAAATCCCACGTCGTCGACACCTCTCATATAAGTAGTAAGTGTCTCTCGACGCCTTTTTCGTGTGATGCCTCTACAGCATTTGAGGTACCAGCGTTCTAGCCCGCTTGTGTGTGAAATCCTGGTGTATTCGTCTAAGCGGTCAGGTTGTGAATGTGGCGCGTGCAAACAAACTCTCTTGCCCTCTTAACCACTGCACCCATTCTCCGCATCGCATGACTGACTGGCTCCGACAGTAGCTGGGCCAGGGAATGGGTATAAAAGGTGAGGTCAACGTCACAAATCCTCCTCCTCACTATAAACAATCTGAAGCGCTTGAAGTAATCACGATCAGCTAAAAGCCGTGGCATAGAATTTCGTCAAATGACGGAATAACTAGGACCTCGCAGCCAGCCGGCGTGCGTTTATGTGGGGTGCCGGACTGACGAAATGATGATAATAATAATAATAATAGTCATAATAATAATAATTTTTATCAAAGGCCCGTCGGGATCCTACCAAAGCAAGTAAAAATAAATTTACATGCGAATTTTAGGCGAGGTAGACAAAATCTGCACAAAATGCATGTCATACTTTCTGAATTCGTAGTCCGTTAAGGAAAATGATCAGAGAGAGTTGAAAAACTCCATATAAAAATGTAGAAATGATTGGATTAATTTTACAGGAAAAAAATGAGGGTCAGACTGCAATAGCTCCCTCTTAATGAGGTCTCTATGGTACTTTCATCTAGTGTAATTCGAGTAGGGTATTGCGACATGCCTAGGGCCAGCGCCAGCCGTCGTCCTTGAGGATGTCAGTTAAAATTCTGGTCTAGTGTCCTTTGTAGACCAGGAGGTGTAATGGTACGCATAGTTGCTAGTCCGGCAGAGCCAGCCG